TGCCTTTTTATAACAGTACATCTCAGTACTGGTATGATTTCCTCTGGTAGGGGAATGAAATATGTTATATGGAATCTCTTTATTGGGGGTCGTCTTAAATTCAGGGTCATCTTAGATTTGAGTAAATGCGGTATAGCTTTGTTGGATCAGTTGTACAGCTTCTGATTCCTGATCTCTCTTCTGCTTCTCCTTTTAAATGTACAGCACTGTATCAGAGTAAGTCCAAAAGACACTCTGGGATGTCATTTTCATTTCTATCCTTCCAGTGACCTTATTTTATATGAGCTTTCACTAAGCCTACTTGTATCCATTTTGCAACCAAGGTTACATATTGTTTTTTTACGCTGCTTCTTAAAAACAGTCCACAAATGAATAGGGATATGTTCCTGCTCAGGACTCACAAGAACCTGCTATGGGCCTCAAAGCAGGTTTCAGCCACTCATAATCTTTCTTGCTCTGTAAAGGAACCACAGTGTATAGTTGCTTTTATAGTTTCTATCCCTGAGGCAGGGTAACTTATTCACTGCAATTGCCTACAAATCATCTGTTTTACCCGAGACACACTTTAAAGGGAATTTCCACAGTATGAATCTGTAAACTACTTTTCCTGGCACTTATTACACAGTTATTAGCTATAATGAAATCAAAACCACTTATTAGCTTATCCATTGTCTCAGCTATCCAGACTACTTGCTCAGACTCCAGACTTACCATTTTCAAATCCAGTTTCCAGATCTTGGGTATGTAAGCACTCCCCAGCCTCTGTCCTTATTGGAAAACAAATGCGCTTAAGTTTTGGATCACCTGTTTGCTAAGCATTTTAGCATGCCCAGTTAACTATTATATTTGATCCAGAGTCTTCAACTGCTGTGCAGTTCAGAGTTACTGTTATATATTCAGTGACCACACTTACTCTCTTGTTATTCAACTGTCCAGGTCTACACAGAAGCAGTAGAGCTTATTCTGGTACCTATGAGCTTTACCCCTGAGCTTGGCATCCCGCCCTTCCTGAACAGTGTTGCAATTTTTTACAGGTATGTTTCATGCTCTGTCCTGGCCCACTGTATATTTATTACAGTCCTTGTCTAGGGCTGGTTTTTCACTGTGCACAAGCATTTAGTTGATCTGATTCCCTTAATTAGTGCTAATTTCCCTTGATTTATTGTTTTTTTCCTAATAATCCTAAAATGTCATAAACCTGATTAGAACTGGCTTTTCATCATTCTTATTGAATATAGAGATGTACTGACAAGATTCATATTGTGATCAATTTCCATCCTCATCGCTTCATTTTCCATGGTGCTGCTGCAAGTAAAGATTAAAAGTCTGTGGTGAGATCAGTAACTTGTAACAGTGTTTTGTTGGTTGAGCATCAATAAAATGTTCCATTTCCAATTTGTGGTAGGAGTTTATGCCAGAGCCAGACATCTCTGTAGGTCTTCTGTCAATTCAGGTATGGTCTCATCTTTCCCTCACCATCTAGCAAACTGAGTCCCAGCCAGCACACTGGCTCCAAACTGCATACCAAGGGCTTGTCTTAGATTTGGATAACTACTACTTTTTTCCTGAGGGTGCTATCCAAGCTGGACCACTCAAATTAGCTGGTCAAAGGCCTTTTTCTGTCTAGTTTCTCAGCCATTCATTTGGGGTATAATGGTGAATTGAAATATTTCAAATAAGTAATACTCCAAATAAATCTCCTTGAGAACAGAGATGCTTATACATCTCTAACTCAGTTAGTTTATTAGGTGCATCTCTATCTTGCCTTCTGCCTTACAAAGAATATTTTCCCTCAGAGTGGGAAACCCCCTCACTGTGGTGGTTAGCATTATTAGAACTGGGATAAGGACATCAGGACAACTTCTGTTTCATGGAAAAACTTCCAGTCCATGATGCCATTCATTGTGTACAGAAGTTGCTTTTTTCACCATTTAAAGTGCTTTATTGCTATGACTTAACAGAAGTGCATAGCTTTACAGCACTTTAAAATTGAGTATAGCACTTTAAATTAACCCTTGTTATATGAGGTATTAAATTTGAAGAGCTGTATTTTACAACACTTCAGCAACCTACAGTGCTTTAAATAACTTCTGTACACTGGTCTAGACAGGGAATGTTGCAGCTCAGTGTTTTGTATTTGTTGCTTCACTACAGATCTCATCTTTACCTGTAAATCATCTTTCCACCTTTTCCTGGATGCTTTTTCAATTACATCTCTTGTTTTAATTTTTTTGGCCATTTTAATTCTGTAGACGTTATTTGTTCTATGTTGGTTTAGCAGGAAAGGAACTCACAATTTATCTCCAACTTCACATAACAGTGTTATATCTTTTTGACCTGAGCAATTACCAACATTTGGGTTTTCCAGATTTTTTTGGTCAGGAAAAGAAATGATGCTGTACTCTGGTGTATTCTGTTAATACACAAAGAATATATGAATATTTGTTTCCCTGAACACAGCAAGATTCAAACATCAGAAGCTAATTGCTTTGCTAACAGCTCCAGTCTGCTTTCTAGTCAGCACTTGCCTTGTTCCTCTCAGCTTTTCTAGGGCCAGGCTACCCCAGCAGTGTTCTCTGGCTGTATCTGGATTTACCTTCTCTCTGCTCTTTGTCACATACACACATCTCCTAAAATAGAAACAAACCCCACTTCAAACACATTTTCTGCATGTGCCTGTGCTTTGAATAAAGGCTGCTATTTTTAATTTTTTTTTAATACTGTTTTTAATGTCATAAAGGAGCTTATTTTTTCTTACATTTTTTCCAGGTGAAGAATACTGTTACACCTTCATGACCACGGTTCTCATGAGGTTGAAGATTTATGTCTCATATTGATATATCAAAGGGAGAGAATAATTTATTCAAATCAAGAAAAATGAAATACAAAAGCATTAATTTTGCAATAGAATCGGGAAAGAAAACATTTTCCCAAGTAAGATTATTTGGGACTATTAAGTAGGTGAGAAGGGGAAATGAATACCTCTTTATGCACATATTAATAAGGGAAAGCAACTTATTAAATATACAACTAGCAAAGACGAGAAAAATGTTCTTGTCTGTAGACCTTAAGCTATGTCAATCCAGGAGGATATGTTCTTTTGACTTCCCATCCTTGTGCTACTGCTTGTGCAGCCTCCTTGATAATAGCAATGAGGGAAGGGCTAATGGAGACTGGATTTGGGTGTTTGTCCTCTGGCACTACTCAGAGCTGGTGGTCTTTCCACACAAAGAGTATGTTTGCACTGCAGCTGGGAGGTGTGACTGTACCAGACCTGAACTACAGCTAATCTGTAAGCGCTTGTTTGTGTGACAAGAGTGATGAAGGCAAAAGCCCTACAGACACAGGCTAGCAACTTGAGTATGTACATCTCATACTGGGCTCTGCTGCCTCTTTACTGCCTTTGTTACTGGAGCTAGTTTTAAATTATTTTGTTTCACAGTGTATAGCTGATTTTGGATTTTAAATTTAATTGCAGAACAACAAGGACGTTTTTTTACCTCCCTGTCTGCCATCTGACACCTCCAGGGAAGGAATTCTACTTGATCAGCACATCAAAGAGCTACTCAACACAGCTCACACACTCTCAAGGACCCAGAGGGACAGCCTTCCATCTTCAGCTCTCTCTGTGCAAAAATGAAGTTTATTTCTTACCTATGAGGACTTCTTATCATCTTATACCATCTACACTTTTCCCAGAGCCTGGTGAAGGGACTTTGATCCCGAAAACTTGCAGAAAAGGACAACTTGCCATTTTCCAGTTGGTCTAATAAAAGGTATCATTTTGGAACCAGGAGTTCTAGTTTTTTGTATGTCTAGGTTGACCCCTGGCTTTCTGATTTGAAAAGCAAGGATTTTCATAGGTACGGTGTATGTCAGGACCAGGCTCAGCTGGTGTGGCCCTGTCCCCTGCAAGTGGTGCCCACAGGGAATGGGGCTCGGAGCTGATGGGGCCATGCCAGCTGAGTGCCAAGCCCGCCCCTGTCCCTTAAAAACGGTGCTGAGCCCAGTGCTGCTCGTAGGGGACAGGGATGAGGATAGGGATGGGGCTGGGCTTGGTGCTTGGCTGGTGTGGTCTCAGCCCCTGCGAGCGGCGCTGCACCCATCCCCATCCCCTGCAAGTGGTGCCGGGCTGGCAGGGGATGGGGATATGCCAGCTGAGCACCAAGCCTAGCCCTGTCTGCTGTGAGTGGTGCTGTGGAAGGACACGCTTGGTGCCGCTCACAGGGGACGGGGCTGGGCTGGGCTGGCATGGCCTCATCCCTTGTGAGTGGCGCTGGGCTCGTGGCTCAGCTGGTACAGCCCCATCCCCTGCAAGCAGTGCTGGTGCGGCCCAGGCAACCTCACTCGCAGAAGATGGGGCCACGCCAGCTGAGCACCAAGCCCAGCCCCGTCCCCTGTTTTTTGATACGGCATGATGTGTAAGTTGAGTTTGATTTTTAAGACGCAAAAACTGGACTTCAAAACACGACTTACACACCACAGAATATGGTAGTGATCTTTAGTGATCTTAAAGCCAGGTAGATGTCTGTCCCTACCCCAGAGAGCAGACAGCTTTGTGTGGTGGCTGAGCATGTGCTCAAAAGTGTGCTGCAGCCTCCCCCCACGCCTCTGGGTGATAGTCTAGAAAGCGGCTGCTGTCATGTGCCTTCATGCCTAGCTTTTAACAGGTGGGGTCACATGCAGGGCAGCTCCGTGACCCCTGGGCAGTGGATTTAGGAGCGGAGCACCTGAGGGCTGCCTGAAGGGTGGTGGAGATGAGGGGGAGTAGGGCAGGGCAGGGAAGGGAAGGGAAGGGAGCGATGCCAGCGAAGGGCTCACGTGTGGGCAGCCGCTGGGCGGTGGATTTGGAAGCGAGGCACTGGCGGGTCCCGGGAGGGCAGCGGCGATGATGGGGAGCAGGAGCCCTGTGGTCCCCGTCTGGAAGACAGAGGCCACTTGGGAGTCCGCAGCGCGCGGGGCC